AACAACTTCTTCAATCCTCAGCCATCGATGTCTTGGTACTCAGCACACAATTCGTTGAATACGCCCTTAAGTCTGACCACGAATGGCGCGAAAGAGATCGCTTCCAGTGTTAATGACAACAACAACAATGTTAACAAAATTGACAACAAATACAAAGACACCACTCCAGCACTCATTCACCCAAACAGGTCTGAAAAGAACTCATTGGAGTCTACGGTCACAACCACTGCGTCCACGGATAACAGTTCCAGTACTTCGCTGTCGAACTTAACGGCGATCGAGACTGAGAGGAATACACACCGCAATCAATCAGGTATTGAATGGCATGTGAATGCATTGTCTGTTGCATATTGTCTGACGGGAAATGGTGTTGTGTTTCAGACCTAAACTGGTTGGCAGAGGTGGCCATCTCTATTAAATTATTATTAGTTTAAACGATAGTATAACATAGTGTCTCTATAAAAAATTAATAAAAAATTAATATTTTATAATAATTTTAAAATTATAAGCTCTCTCGCTTTCAGTGTGCCAAAAAGTCAGTCCCGCAAATTATGTATAAATTTGATACATTTCAAAATAATTTTTTTGCGATAAATGTAAAACTATATTACATGTACTGGACTTTAATAGAGAAATGCATATAAAATACCTTTACATCAAAACCTTTATAATTCACTATATTAATATTATTTAAGTCTTAATAATATGTGCTTTCCAAACGGTATTAGTATAGTATTAAATTTATTTATTTCATTCAATTACCATTGTTTTTATATTTAATATTGAATGAATGTTTAAATCTGTGCCTATTATGCATTTTTCTATAACTAATTAATCTAGTTTAAAATTCATCATGCATTATCATAAGTAGAAATATTTTTAATGTATTGTATGTATATTTTTAATGTATAATAATAATATAAAAAACATTTAAAACCCAAAAATTAAATTTTGCAAAAATTAAGCATTTAAGTTTGAAATATTGAATTTATTTGTAAAATATTAGCTTGATTACAGTTTGTCAAGAATTAAGCTCATCAGTGATCCAGATCATTTCCCAGTAGTCAACGTACCGTTAGGGTACTGATATATGATAACGGGATTACCGTTACCACGACCCCCACCACCACCGCCACCGTTGCCACCTCTAAAACCCCCTCTACCGCCGCCGCCACCACCGCCGCCACCCCCACATCGGACCTCCGGGGCCTCCTCTGCAGGTCTCGCATAGCATACGGCTATTGAATGAGAAATAATTTTTAAAAAATTAATTAAAATTTTAAAAATGATATGAATTATCCGTATATTACCAATAATGCACACTGCTAATAAAATAGCCAGATACTTCATGATTCTCAAACAAGTTTACCGTTTGATTAGTAAAATTGTTGTGAAGTCTTGTTGCTTGTTAAGCTGGTGTTTGTATCGGTTATATTTATAGGTGCAAAATTATCGGGTGATTATTACATACAAATGTCCTCGAGTATATACGTGCACTATGTACCATGATTTATGAATGTGAACTGGTAAATTAATCATGGTTATTGACGTCCTTTTGTCGGACATTTAAACCAAAGCATTGTTGTAATCATTATCACGAGTTTACAATCAACAAGGTGAATAACTGACAATTTAGTTTAACCTGTACATTGAGTATATTATAGGTGTACAAGTAATATAACCTACCATGGAAAAATAATTCACATTTGTGAACGTAGAAATTGTTTTTAAAATTACGATTAATTATGGTATGCCCTAAGCAACATTCATTTAAAATATTATATTTGAAAATAACAAATCACCTTGTTTACTAGAACAAAAAGATGTTTAATATATTAATTGTGACTCTGAACATATCAATTTTATAAAGTAAAAATCGCATAGCAACATAATTTATTAATTCGTAAAGGTGATTTATTACTTGTAAACTAGTAATTACATTTTATTTAGGCCTAAATTTTTTAATTTAATTTTTTATTTGCTGATGATGAATTTTCAGATTAATATTTATAATAACATTAACCAGCTACAGGTGTGCCATTGGCGTTAACGGGTATGATAATGGGTCTACCGCCACCACCACCACCAAAACCTCCATTGCCGTAGTATGGATAGCCTCCACCGCCATAATAATCATACCCACCATACCCTTCACCACCATAACCACCCCCACAGCGAGCATCCGGGTCCTCATCGACAGGTTTGGCATAACATATGGCTATTTAATTAAATATATTTAATTTATTAATTAAAAATAATTTAATTTTTATTGTAAGTAATGTTTGAAAAGTTTATCACGAACCAATAATGAATAAAACAAACAAATGTGCTAGTAGTTTCATTATTTTGTAATATAAATTACAGTTAGTTTGGTTAAAATATTTTCGTACTTTAGATATATTTATGGTATAAATTAGTATTTAATCAAGCAGTATTTATACTTTTTGTAGACATTTTAATTTGTGTGTTTTATATGATCTAGATTAATATCTAAATAATTTTGTGGTATAGAAAAATTAATTATGAACCAAGGCCTTATTTCAAAAATATCTATTTGTGTGGTTAATATTGAATGTACATTAAGGATGTAAACAAGGTCAGTCAGGTGGACAACATAAAACAATTTCTATTTCTAATCTGATTTTATAAATATATTTGTTATGATTTAGTTTTGTAACATATTTATAAAGGGTGATAATTATTTATAATTCAATAACTTGATACTAAATTTTGAAAACATTGATAAATTAAATAACCAGACAATTATTATAGTTTTTAAAAATAATACAAGTTTATTTGAAAATAATTATAAACTTATTAAAGTAATTATAAGCTTTATAAACTAAACTTACGTTTACTTTGCTCCAAATTTAATTAACAATTTAACAAAAATTTATAAAATTGTTAGTAAATTTTAAAACTATCTTATCATTATATACTTGAACAATTTTATTTTGCATAGCATAATGAATCAAAACAATTTACACAACATAATAGACAATATTGTATTATTATTTTGAAGCAAAAAATTAAACATTTAATTAATAATTATATGCATGCTTATTTTCCATTATTAAAAACAGGTATGCCACCAGCACCACCGGTAAACGCAGGTTGGATACCACCACCACCTACACCACCAACACCTCCGACACCACCCACACCTCCGACCCCATTGCCATTTACGGGATAAGGGATATATACCGGGTAGGGGTAACCACCACCACCACGTCCACCGCCATTACCACCTCGATATCCGCCGCCATAACCCCCACCACATCGGGCATCCGGGTCCTCGTCACCGGTAGGTTTAGCACAACATAAGGCTATTAAAAAAGTTTTTAGTTAGTTAAAAGTATATTAAATTTGCGCTTGGTATGAATGACATTAAATTACCAAAAACACTTAAAGTCAGCAAAAGTACAAATATTTTCTTTTTTAGAAAATTATTTTACAGTATCTTTTGTATGAATTACAATGACTTTGATAAGCTTTTAGCCGAGATTATCCAGGCTATTTATACTGGAAAAACACTTACTAGACAAGTGCCTTGATTATGTGCGCTTAATGGGCGCATAATTAATTTAAGAATTTATTTTTTTTGATTTAAATATAGAGGTACATTAAGTTGAACATTAATAATTTGTAAAGCTATTTTAATAAGCAATATTTAATCTGTTAAATATTGAATTAACAATTTGATTAATTTAATCTTTGTTGTTATACTGTACTTAAAATACATGAACTATAATTAAAATATTACCAAGATTAGCTTATAATTAATATACGCTATAACTTTATATGATCGCTTACATGCAAAACTGTTCTTAATGATTTTGAACGAATATATTGGATGTTATATTTGTAAAAGGAATATATAAAAGGGTGATTTGAACTCTGCTTACAATATGACTGTATAGCATTGAAACAATATTAACTTTGTTTTTATTTTATATTACTCATAGAGTTCATGTCACCTTTTCGTATATTCCTATCACATTTACTAGATTTACGTTTGAATATTGAAAATAATCAGAAATTTGACAGTTTTTTCAATAGGGGCGGGATTTCATGTATGTGTGGTAAATGTGCTCATGTATAATATCTAGAATAATACAGATGTATTATACGTCAATGTATGTGAATCGACCCTAGTTTTTACGCGAATAGCAATACAAACAGTGCTATAGTATTAGTATTATTAGTATTGGTGTTCATGTGTTCAGTCAGTGGTAAGCGATTCATAGGAAAAGTGTTTGAATAGTGACTCGTATTGTGAGCCAAAGGCTCCAAAACTGGAAATATTTGGCTGAAGATAAATATGTGGAGACTTGCAGTACAGTAGACACACATTACACGGATTGGCATTTATATTGCATTTCACTGTCATCTACGCTACTCTACAAAACTTGGCTCAAAGGGAGCACACATTACATGTTTGTATGGCTTATGGCTTCACTGAACCCATCATACAATCCATACAATCACTGCTCTCTCTCTCTCTCTCTCTCTCTCTCTCTCTCTCTCTCTCTCTCTAATTCATCTCATTATTAGCCAATCGTTCAATAAATGAATGGTTTGTCAAAACAATTGCATAGACTATGCATTGGTTTGCAAAGCAGTGGAGGAATGCATTGTTTGTAAGGCTTTTAACCGATATTTGCATTCATTTAGCGTACGATTGGTAGCACCGGTTCCGCCACTGCTGTCAAAGTCCCGGCACTTTCGGTCAAAAGTCATTTCAAGGCCAGGGCTCAGCTCAACACTGCCTACAATACCCGCACATATGTATGCCTGCGCTCCGCAGTGCTAAACACGCATTGAGTCTAACCATTGATACGACGACTACACTACTGGAGCACCACTACCAGCACTACCAGTACTACCAGTACTACCACCACTACCTGCCTATGACTGTGACTATGAGAGTGAGTGTGAGAGTGAGTGTGAGAGTGAGTGTGAGTACAGTAATGCAGTGCAAGCAGTGTTAGTGCAGTGAATGGGCACACATTTGGATGACTCCACTCACGACTGCCTTTACTTTTAGTTAACTTTTGGCAGTCTTTGAGAAAGTTATGCACAAAATGATTGCAAACTAGTTATCAGTATTTGCTGTCTGTTTGCTGACTCCCATTCGCATTCACTGTTGTCTGTTGTGCTCCGAAACTGCCATCACTTCCATCACAAAGACATGAACACTAATGGCACGAGTGTTGACAATTGCCAGCCATTGCCTCCGCTCAAGACATAGCCATCCAATGAAACCAATGCCACTCTGTATCTAATCTATCCATAGATGCCAAGAGTCTAAAGTGTAGTCACATTCACTCAACACTCAAATTGGTTTGTCTTCGCCAGACACTTGTCTACAGTCACCACCATTTGGTCTACATTATCACCCACTGTCTCATACCACCACCGGAGCTGCGGTTATGTCTAATAACATGTGTTCACTCGATAATGGTATGCATTTTGCAGATATCTTTCTATTACCACAGTTTGATGCACTGTTGTATTGCTGCAGACATTGACTTTAGTTGATCCCAACTAATGTCATGTCTGTGTATTGAATGCAAATGCATTTGATTTGATGAATGCTTTTGTGTCCCAAATGTATGTGAAATGAATTGAATTGCAATACACTATAGGAAACAGATATCCATTGAATGAGTGATTCATTGATTCATTTGGGATCCAATACTTTGTGCACTAATTATCTGAAAATGTGATCAATTGATTGAATGAACTCTTGTGTCTTCAGGTAAACACTCGATGCCAGCGATAGTCAGTTCTTGCAGTCCGTCGTTCAACTGTTCCCCTCTTCTGGCGTCTAAACCATTTGGATCTCATTTGTTCGGTTCGATGACGTCTTCACTACCACTTCATCCGCCGTCAAGTCATACGGCATTTCCATTCCCTCCCAGCCCTCTAATCCTGTCGTCACTAAACAACTTCTTCAACCCTCAGCCATCGATGTCTTGGTACTCAGCACACAATTCATTGAATACGCCCTTAAGTCTGACCACGAATGGCGCCAAAGAGATCGCTTCCAGTGTTAATGACAACAACAACAATGTTAACAAAATTGACAACAAATACAAAGACACCACTCCAGCACTCATTCACCCAAACAGGGATTTAAGGTCTGAAAAGAACTCATTGGAGTCTACGGTCACAACCACTGCGTCCACAGATAATAGTTCCAGTACTTCGCTGTCCAACTCAACGGTGATCGAGACCGAGAGGAATACACACCGCAATCAATCAGGTATTGAATGGCATGTGAATGCATTGTCTGTTGCATATTGTCTGACGGGAAATGGTGTTGTGTTTCAGACCTAAACTGGTTGGCAGAGGTGGCCATCTCGTCGAGGGGGCCGTCGGTGTCGTCGTCGCCCTCAGCTTCTGCTCACTTACCGCTGCCACTGAGCCATCAATCGCCGCACGCCTCCCATCCCTCTCAGCGTAATATATATCACCCAACTCTGGGCACTGACATGGCTTCGAGTCAGCGCCTATACTCTCCGCGATTCGCCACATCAGGCTCTCCGACGTATTTCTCATACCCGGCCACAAACAGTCCGATCGGATCATTGAATGGCGTGCGTCCGGTGCCATCAAGTGCTCATTTTAGCGGACCGTTTGTGTCAAACTTCAACGCTTACCAACAATTTAGTCCAACAACTGCTCAGAACCCGATCTCATCACCATTTCTAGTGCCAAATCAGTTGAGTGTCGCCAACACTCGATCCCAAACCTATTCGACGGCTCTTATCGAGTCTTATAACCAGAACTCGCTCTCACAGAACGGCCACAACTCACACAATGCCATACTCTCTGCCAATCAGTGCTCAATGGCGCCCACCTCTCACACCACCAATAGTTCTCGGTCTCCATCACAGCATTCATCTGATTCCTCATCACTGATAAGTTCTGGTCCTTTCTCTAGCCCTACCATCAGCTCAGAATCAGCTGAACCTCACACTAAGTCAATGATGCGATCCGTGGAATCGCACACAGATTCTCGCGCCAGAAACGGTCCAAACGAGTTGAGCCCATCGATGGTCTCTTCAGGCCTGAAACGCAAGTCTCCGTCGAGTCCTGAACTCAACAGTAATGACAAGAATTTATATAAACTTCCGTTCGGTAAGGAAGGCAGTCGTAAGCACCGGATCCTTAAGCCGCCCAACATTAGTATCGATTCAATCAAAGCCGACGCAATGACACTGCAATCCGCACCACTCTCTGCGCCTCCCATTCCCGGTGTCCGGCGCCAGGAGTTCGTTAAAAGGATAAGCGATTCGGACATTGATTGCTATCCGAAAGAGTCGATTGCCGATCAGAATAACTGCCAAAACATGACGTCATTCTATCATCAAAGAAGGAAATCAGTGCCACAGACATCGACATCCACTTCATCTCACAAACCATTCGTGACTTTTGCGCCGAAAGACCACTCGAGCGAAGGATCACATTATTTGGTAGCGAATGAGAATTGTTTGCCAATTGAAGACCACGAGCGACACAATCGACTCCAATATCCCATGTATTTCCAGAGGGGATCCATCATCCAGTTGGGCAACGGAGAGGTAAAGCGTGTGGAAGACATGTCCACTCAGGACTTCATCGACAGTGCGTCTGACAGTCAGGATCTGTGCGCCGATTGCAGTGAAGTGATAAAAATTGCCGAAAAGATCAAAAGCTATTCAGTGCTCCTGAGCTTCAATGTGGGCCGAGACAAAGTGCCCGTCACTGTGGAGGCGCCCGTCGAACACCCCTTCTTTGTCTTTCACAAGGGCTGGTCCTCGTGTTCACCCGAAAGGTCACACTTGAGATATGGTCTTAAATGTCGCAAACTAAGGGTCGGAGATAATTGTGTTTCACTTACTCCCAGAAACACTACAACAGCCAATCAGATGACACTAAAGACACACAAAAGTCATAAGAATATGTTATCCGTGGAATCGCTTCAACGCAAACCCAAACACAAGCCAATAGTTAGCAGACATAAGAACCCGAGTCCATCGGAATCGCCTCTATCTCTAGTGAAAAGTGCGACCACACCAGAGACGGCACCTGTAGCTGGTGCTCAAAGTGATGCCAACAGCGATCACAACCCCAAACCAAACGAGCTTTTAGTGAATAAAGTGGAGAGCAATGAGACAAATGTAACGAAAGTGGTGGAAGTGTCGGAAGCAACCATCCCTTCGGATCCTTCAGACTCAGTGCCAATGAATTCATCGATAAGTGAAGGAGCCGTCAAAACAGAGGACAGACACTCAGCTCCTGATGATATAGAGTCGTCGCCTTCTAACGCCTCATAAAATGAGATTTGTTTTGATCTCATAATGATTTTTGATTTATTCGTTAGTATTAATAGAAATGCTTTGGAAATTTTGTAAACACATACAGTAATGGGTTTTGAAATAATTAGTGGAAATGTTATGAATATATTTTAGCCAAAACTAAATCTATATATTTATTATACCATATCATAACCGATGAGTACATGAATGTCTATTTTCTCGAATTAATGTTTACGTTTAACATTTCATTATATATTTTTAAATCTGTTAAAAGATCTAAACTTTTCTCAACTGTTATCCATTCAAAGTAATTGCCGTTTGTTTAGAAATGATCTATTTTTCTGAGATTTCATTCCAAACTGTGCTCTAAATTGTGCTTAAAATTTGATGATTAACTTAACTTTAAGACTCGACACACGTGTTGCTTACATATGAATGTATGGTCTTTAAATTGTTGTTAACATACATTGTTTCCAAACTGTGATATTGCAATATCAAACTCTATCCAACTCTACACCACTCTCTCCCTCTCCCACTGTCTTATTAACGGCGATACTATTTACGAGTCAATTGTCTGACATTTATGTTTCAAATGTAATACTAATGAATCTATTATGTTGTACACCAATTGTAAATCAATTATATTTATATCCATATAATCATTGATGAGATCGACAATTATTGCCTCAACTCGTGCGTTAAATTAGCATTGATTTCATTTGATATTTAATGTGTTTTATCAATTCAATTATTTGAGATCTATTTTACTTATTTTAGATCATTTGATGACCAATTTTAAGGCCTTGAGTTGAGTTCTTAATTATTATTAATTTTAATTTTTAAATATGAATTTTATTTTTCTACTCTATGCTAATCCCATGCAGTCTTAATCAAATATTCATTGTTTGTATAAATGTTTGAATTAAGATTCAATTAAACAGGCGTTGAATTGAGTGCAACCCTCTGTTAGATCTCATTATCTATTTTTGTATAAAATGTTTGAAATTATTTTATTAATTATGACCGTATATCACATCTTGAGCTCAAACATAATATGTTATAATTTTGTTACAAAAACATAATACAATTTATAAGATATTTCGGTATAAGGAATATAAATCTGCAATGACTGACCACTTATAGCGTTGAGAGTCCACTCAATCATTATTTTTTGTAAACTTAAGCGTATTCTCTATTTATTATATGTTTAATCTGTGGTCAGCTTTGCTTTGATTACTCGTATCAGAAATGAGAAATTAATGCCTAATAGTGTTTGAGCACAACATTTGCCTTAATTTTCAACTGTTCAACAAAATATGTTTTGTTATTATAGGTAACGGTTTACTGCTATTACAAGTAATTAAATATATTATAAATAAATAATTTTAAGGCATAATTACTGCTTATGTTTAATGGACTTAATTTGAATTTTTTGTAAGTTCTGTGTTATTAAATGTTGAAAAATTAAAGTTAAGTTTCAAAAATCACTTCAAACACTGTCTCTATTATTAATGTTTACTGTATTCGCGTATCAATAGTGCCTCTCATAAGGATACTATACTTATAGTACAGTATTAAGGATACTATACTTATAGTACAGTATATTCTGGTTCTTGTATTGCATTGAATTACATGACTATAACTACAGTCGTTATATTAGACGATAATATGATTGGCTTTCATAAGACAAAGAGTAGTCCGAAACTCAAGTCAAGACTCCATTCACTTCATTACTGGTGGCGATAAACCCAAACATTATAAGACGTGATATGAGGGCTAACACTTCAAACTACTCGCAAACCATCAATTTTCTTGTGACACACCATCCCCTCTCCCATCGCATCCCCGTCTGTCCTCTCAGTCTCTGCTTTTCTTTGTCTAATAATTATATCTTTCAGTAATCTTTCGATTATTAGCTTTAAGTGAATTTGCTTTTTTGCAAAACTGTTTACAGAAATAGATTACTGTTAGAGATTAATAAATGAAAGTCAAGTTTAGCTTTTAAATCATTTTGAAAGCCACAAGAATTGCTTCATAATTGTTATTAGTTTTACAAATAAAACAAAATGAATAACTATTTCAAAAGAAACTTTGAAAATTGATATTAAACTTCAGTACAAAAGCACTTAAAGTTTTTTTGCACTAAATTGTAAACTTAGCTTCACTAACGTTATATGCAATCCATTAAATTCTAGATCCAGTATAATCAAATTGCATTTTTTTTATTTGACACAAAATTAAAGTATATTCAAGGGACCTAAAATTATTTAAGGTAACAAAAAGCCTAACAAAAAGTTGCAGGTATTGTATTTATAGATTCATACTCTTTTCCATTGGTTTCTATAGTAATTGATCTCAAAATTCAAAACATTATAAAAATGATGGAATATTTAACTTAATTGTTTAAAGTCGATTGTAAATATGAATTCAAATCTGATAAATACCAGGTAATATATAATTTTAATTATTTTTATATAATTTTAAGTGACTGGAATTTATATAGACTTTGATTGCAATCTAAATAACTTAAGTTCTAATGAACTCAACGTACAGTATATTTGACATTGTACAATTACTCTAATACATTAATACTAAATTCTCTATTTAAATCAAGTTTGAGTGTGGTCAATTAAGGTAGAAATGTGTTTATAATTACTTATATTGTATGAATATTTTTCATGCAAATAATTTTAAAGTAACTTAAGGTAAATAAGTTAAGTTTATATTATGTAATACACATGTACAGCAGTTGAGTACAATGGGAATGACTTGTGAGTGCAGTGCAAAATACTGTGCAAACAGGATTCAACACACTATCCTTGGACAAATCTAGAGCCGTAAAATCGTGTGCTGTAAACATCCAGGGATACTCATATTGTACTTGTAGTATTTCACTTAAAATACTACGATTTACAGGTGCATATAAAACATTGCCATAAACTTATAGGCTATAAGTTATAGCATACAGAGTTTATCCCGTAATACATGTATAGTAGTATCCCGTCTAATAACCTATGGGTGGGTTATACCATGAATTTAACTTTAATACTATTTTACAATTATTATAATCGTATTGAAATAGAAAATATGATTTTAAGTATAATTTCTTTGGAAATATAACGGAAACAATAATTGAATTTCTTTGAATATATATAGCGGTGAATCACAAACTAACATCCAGGGATACTCATATTGTACTTGTAGTATTTCACTTAAAATACTACGATTTACAGGTGCATATAAAACATTGCCATAAACTTATAGGCTATAAGTTATAGCATACAGAGTTTATCCCGTAACATGTATAGTAGTATCCCGTCTAATTTGGAAATATAAAGCAACATGAACACACAATTTATAAGCCCTAAACAATATTTAAGAATAGCGTAGTGTGTTGTGAGCTATACTAACCTATGGGTGGGTTATACCATGAATTTAACTTGAATACTATTTTACAATTATTATAATCGTATTGAAATAGAAAATATGATTTTAAGTATAATTTCTTTGGAAATATAACGGAAACAATAATTGAATTTCTTTGAATATATATAGCGGTGAATCACAAACTCGTTTACTTCAGTCACGAATTGATAGTTTAGAGAAACATTTGCTGGAAATCCATAATTCAATCGCTTCTTACGCCACAAAAATAGCCAAAACCAGAGACAGCGCCGACTTAGTGGCCACTAATGTATTACAATTCACAGAATCAGAAAAGATTAATACCAGGTTTAGATATGATTCAATATATGGTTATATGTTTTTGTTATTATTCTTACATTTATGTGAAACTGTTATTTTTCGCTTATTCTGTATATTATCTGATATTAAATAGTTTGAGACTTGGATTGACTAATTTCGCCAATTGTTTGAATGCTATTCAAGATTTCAGAGACGATGAGGTAATTGAAAAATTGAGTTTTTTTTTGTTAAACATATATTTAACCTATATTTAATTTATGTTAACATATATAATCATGACAATTTGTCAAAATGAAATATTTATAAATTATAATTATTTAGATTAAAAAACTTGAAGACAATGTAATTAATGAAATCAGTCTTTACGGCGAATTCACTCGAAAAGCAAAAGTAAGTCCCTTTTCTAAATGACAGACCGTTCAGTCAGTTTTAATCTAATCAAGGCAATATGTCATAATTGTTATTAACGCAAATTATAAAAAGAATTATGAACATAAAAACATTTTTACCTGGATGATTTGTCATATAAAATATGTTTATGAATAATTTTAAATTTATTGTATAGAAATGATAAGGTTGTACCAGTATAGAAATGTTTAGAATTCTTACTGTATATGCATTGTTATAAGTATAGTTAAAACATAATAACGAGACTTACAAATCCAGTGTATGTTTTATAGGGTAGATAGGGTAGTGTACATTTCTATATCTATATTAATTGCTGAAAATAGTGCATTAAATTATGGGATTTGGCACGGGGGGG